TTCTTCACAAAAATCCGCACAAAATCACAAAAACAATAGATACTTTGTATTATTTGATGAAAGAAACACGGAAAATCGCAAGATACACTTGATCTTCAATTCAAGAGGAGGATTGATATCTCCCAAATCTCTAGACGCCGCTAGAGCCCAAAGAAAACCTAATCTAAGAGATCTCAAATTTCAGTCAAATTCAAGATGCCCTAACCCTAGGAAAACAAAGTATTTAATGCATACAAATCAAAAGGAAATCCCTAAACAGTCCCTACATTCAAATTTCCCTCTCAAAATTCTCAAAAATTCTTCCTACAAGGATCTGCTTAGGCGTGCGGATCGTCAGAACTCCGCAGGAGGCGGAGATGTCGCCTTGTTCGCGTCTAGGCCGGTCCAGACGTCCCGTTTGGACCGGCTAGACCGGTCTAACACTCTGACCTTCTATTTAGAGGTTCAGTTTGAGATTCAATGCTACAAGAATGGCTACAAATAAATAATACATATAAAATTACATAGTAAAGATTAACATTACTTGCTATAAAATGTTTAAGTTTTTCTTTGTTCATAGCTTTTACATGTACTTGATCAACTCTTGGCAAATTTGAAACTCTGGATAGAATATTTGAGGAAGAGTTCCCTTCAGCGATTTCTTTATGAGTTGGCACTTGGCAAATAACTTTAAATGACTTGTTGACTTCACTTGATGAAAAGATGTAAAATGTTTCTAGACGTAATGAAACAGACCTAGTAAAAAAATAGAAAAAAAAATCAAAAAGAATGATCAATGCTTTTTTTCCCGTAAAAGAAGGTTGGTTAAAAAGCTTCAATTTATTATTCATATCTAGTGGATCTCTGCTAGACATTGAAGTTTTATTTATTTCCATGTTCCATGAAAATGCTTGCAAATCAAATTGTTTATTTTTTTCTAGGTTGTTATTGCTGAAGTAATTAACATTTAAAAGATGAACACATGAAAATGTGTGATGTGGAAATTATCATTGAAACTTTAAAAGATGAAATTGAACCCATTGATCCGTCTGTTTACAAAACTAAAAACTTAATCATTTTGGGAGGGTTTGGCTACGTGTAGTTGATGAAAAATATCTTATAATCACTGTTTAGAACGTTCATTTTGATGTATTTAAACTTCTTGATGTGTGAGCAATGTTCACAAAATGTGACGGTATTTGGTATATAAGTGTAAAGTGTTGGCGCTAACCAATTTTAAGATTCCTATCTGTACATTAGGATATTTGAAACTCCAAATCATATTGGTTTGGAGTGAAGGTTCAACCAATCAGTTGGACCACACCTATAAAATCAGAGCTTTTGTCTTAAGTACTTGCTCGAAAAAAAAAAACACTTGCTTCTTCAAAAGAAATAATATCGGGATAAGTTGAAAGATTCTAGAAAATAATAATACCCCTTTTTATTATAAATGTTGTTATTGTTTAAATATATAACTAATATGAGATCTCATGTATAGTTTTGTCATGCAAATTTTGCACCAGCACAAGATTACATCAATCTTCAACAATGTTTTCAATGCATCAAGTGCAATGCAATGCGCAAAATTTCTACAAGAATCTTCAACAATGTTTTCAATGCAAAATTTCTGTTTTGATTTATAGGCAAAGCGTAGCAACGTTTTTACTAACTATAGCATTTATTGGTTGCATGTTATCTTGACATATATTATGTGCATAAAATAGTTATTTAATTAATTAAATCTAAATCACATTAGGAATAATTTTTTAGCATGCGTACTTTGCTATGAGTGATAATTGCTAAAATTGGTAGCTATGAACTAAAAGATCCCATATGAGCTAGGCTATGTACTTTCTTTTGCCAAAGATATGAACATTAGTTGGCCATAATACTTTAGTCACATGAAAAGCAAGTGTTGTTATCATCACTAGCCTATGTTATGAATTGATTTGGCTTTATAAATCAGTCTTTTCCAATCATTTCTGTTGAGTTTTTGGGTGTTAATTCTAATTTGCAATTTTTTATACTATTGCTGCTTAGATTATCTTTGGCCTACCCTTTTTTTTTGTTTATCACCCCGATTTAATTTTCTCTACTCATATAATCAGTGCACTTTCTACACTTGAAACTACAACCCCAATCATCCATATTTATTTTCCAACACCATATCTTCCCCTAAGGCTTTAAAGAAAACATAGTGTGAAAAAGCTGTTGGACTAATGATATTTGTAAATGCTTAGGAGTTGAAGGAATATTTTTGGCTTACTAAATTTTTTAATATTATTTTGAAGACTAAAAGATGTTAGATGAGTGGAGAATGAGTTTGTTGATTCCTATTTTTAAGACTAAATGTGATCCATAAGATTGTGCGAATTATAGAGGAATTAAGTTAATGTGTAATACTTTAAAACTTTGGGAGGGAGTTATTGAGCATAGGTTACGACTTAAGACGTGATACTAATGTTTCTCAAAATCAATTTGGATTCATGCCAGGTAGGTCTACTATGGAAGCTATACATTTATTAAGAGCTTTGATGAAGAAGTATAGAGAGAATAAGGAGGATCTTCATATGATATTGATGTAGAGAAAGAATATGATAAAGTTTCAAGAGAAGCGCTATGAAAAGTTCTAGAAAAGGAGTTAACACTTCTTATATTGAAGTCATTAGGGATATGTTTGCAGGTGTTGTTACTTGTGTTCAAACACAAAGTGGTTTGACCAAGAATTTTCCTATTTTTGTTGCATTACATCAAGGACCAGCCTTAAGTCCAAATCTTTTGCTTTATTCATGGATGTTCCCACTAGACATTTGCAAGAGGTTGTACCCATGTTTATGTTTTTTGCTGATGATATTCTTCTTGTTGATAAGACTAGAGAGGGAGTTAAAGGTAAACTTGAATTATGGAGGTCAACATTAGAGTCTAAAGGTTTTAATTTGAGTAGATCTAAAATATAATATATGGAGTGTAATCTTAGTAGTAATAGACCTAGTGGGGGATTTGTGACTTTGGATGATCGTGTCATTAATAATAGTACACGTTTTAGATATCTTGTGTTTATTGTTCAGAGTGAAGGTGAAATAGATGGGGATATTATTAGCAGAATTCAAGTTGGATGGTTGAATTGGAGGAATGCATTAGGCTTGTTGTGTGATAGAAATGTCCCCCTCAAACTTAAGGGAAAATTCTATAAGATGGTGTTGGGACCTGCAATGCTTTATGGTGCAGAATTTTGACCATTAAAAGAGAAGCATAATATTAAGTTAAGTTTTGTAGAGATGAGGATGCTCTGGTGGATGAGTGACTTTACTCTTGAGACAGGATGCTAAATGAGCATATACGTGAAAAGTTTGGAGTAGCTTCAGTGGAAGATAAGATTAGAGAGAGTTACCTTAGATGATTTGGTCACATAAAACAATAATCTTCTAATGACCCGATTAGGAAAGTAGATGTATATGATTTGACTAATGTTAAGAAATGTAGAGGTAGACCTAAAAAAACTTGGTTAGAAAATATTAGAAATGTCATTTCTTTTTTAGTTTAAAATGAGAATTTGACTCTTAATAGGACACAATGGAAAAAAAGGATTCTTGTAGCCAACTGCACGTAGTGGGATAAAGGCTTGATGTTGTTGTTGTTATTGTACCATATCTTCCCCAGATATCTCTCTCGCACCATTTCACATATAATCCTTTCGAAATCTACTCCTTTTGATTTAATCTAAGAATTTTTATTTTTTCTAAAATCAACTTTGCTTCACTATAATTGAGTTTTTTTATTGCTTAGCAATCATATTCATATAATATAGTCAATATCATTGCATTTTATATTAAATTTGGCTTTACATTACAACAACAATAACAATAAGTTTTTATCCCACTATGTGGGGTCGGCTACATGAATCATTTTTCCCAATTATGTCTTATTATTAATCCCCATTCTTTATTATCACATAATATTGATGAGTCATTTTACCATTTTAATCATTTAGTCTTAATTCTAGTACTTATATCTTCATTTATTTTCTCTTTCATCTATACAATAGGTCCAAAATAAATAAATCTGTAAAATCTTTGGATCTTTATATCTTCCATTTTCTTATAATATTAATTGATTATTATTTATTACCAATTTTACACTCACTGCAACTGCATATCATATTCTCGGTTTTTTTTTTTTTCAATTAAGTTTAAGCCACTTATTTTAAATAATTTTTTACAATTATTCTAATCTTTTAATTATTTTATTAATATCTCACTAATTTGAATTATATCATCTAAACCTATTGTATTTCCATATATCTTGCATTAATTACTCTTTGCAAGTATCTGCAAATAAATATAAATTATATAGACTTAATGCTGATCCTTGATATTTTTCTATTGTGTTTGGAATCTTGGTAATTTCATAATTACTTTTCAATGCTAGTCAAAACTGTTATCATACGCATCTTTAAAGTGATGATTCAGTAATTAGTTTTTGGAGTTGTTGAGTGATAAAGGAGCTCCTTAAAAAGATAGATTTACATTATGTAAAGAAACGAGTTATGTTATAAAACTATTTGATCAAATTGACTTGATTAAAGTTGGAGGTTAAATGGAATCAATAATTCGATAGGACATTTGCAAAGAAATTGGATCTGCATAATTTGAGTCATAGTGGACATCTATTTGAAGTTTGCTCAAATGTGAAAAAATCATTATTTCACTGTCAAATTCGTAGGCTTAAAGGTGTAAGATTTTGCGTAATTGTAGCATTCACAGTTGCTTGACAAATTTTCGTTTGCTTTCCATGCCTGTTAAGAGCGAGAGATTATTTTGTGTGGTGTCCGAATGCATCCGGAGGTCAATACGGACGCGCCATATCATCAAATGCACTGTGCATTGGCTGACGTGGAGCGTCTGGATAGGCCTCTGGACGCGTCCGAACACTGCACGTAACAATTTTTCGTTAAGAGCTGCCTCTTTTATCAATTAATTCATCTTCCCTGGTAACTGATATGTTGGCTCAAACTTCTGTAGCATAAAACCATTGATAGTGTGCTGGCCAGAGGAGAGAAGTTGGATAGCCTGGTGGAGAAGAGTTCAGATCTTAGTGCTGCCTCCCAGGTATGTTGTTCATTTATGATTTAAGAATCCATAAAGTACTAATAGCATAAGATACAGTCAACATCCATTGCCAATTATTGCAAGCACTGAAACCTCTTCTGATACTTGTATTGCCTGTCCAATCCACAGATGTTTTACAAGCAGGCCAAAAAAACCAACCAGTGCTGCACCATACTTTAATGTCAATGGGAGATTCCGAGTATTGCGTTATATAATCTGCTTTTCAGAAATCTAAAGCTTTTCAAATGGTGATGATTCTTCTAACCTGATTGGTTTATCTGGGCAGGAATAGCCCGAGTTCTATGCAAGTTATACGTTTGTAACTGTTCAGTTTTTTTTTTCTTTACGTGTGAGTTATGAATGTGTGAATTTATGCGCTGGCCACTTGGGAAGTTGATGGTACACTTTTGTTATTGAATGTTATATAAGTGCAAGAAAATCTAGATTATGCGATACCTTAGTTTCGCACCGGGCTTAGCTGGGTTGGTGCACGAGCATGGTTGGGAACCCCCAACCCATATTTGAGTCCCCTCTTATGTGGCGTGGCGTGATCTCTTAAGTGAGAAAAAAATAATTGCGGTACTGCACCTGTGGGGCTGGTTGCTGGTAGGCTTGCCTAGGGAGTAGTTTCGCTGCCAAATACCTCATAAAGGGGTGGCAACAAGTAGATATTTTCGTTCAAAATAATTATAATTATAATAATTCTATCATTTGTTGGAGTCTGTTTCAGTGGTAAGATCTAATATGATCCTACCATAAAGATTATAAGTCTCATTCAGCAAATATTAATTATTAGCTCTTTGTCAAAGGCAAATAATATTTAAATCATTACTATAACTCATTTAAAATTAGTTTCTTTGGATTTTATATAATGTTTTATATTTCCCTTTTTGTTAATTAAATCTCCTCATAGGTGTCCGCATGAAACACGAGGTATTGCATATGCTAGTGCTTGAGCCTGAGGGCAGTTGGTTCGACCTAGATTTGGTTTGAGATTTTTTTTTTTTTTTTGCTTTTTAAAGCTTTTTTTATATTGCAAATTTTTTTTGATTTTTTTTTTTACTAAATTTTTTTAGAAAACAGTAAAAAAGCTGTCCCAAACTAAGCTTTAGGCTTCGTTTGGGACGGCTTTTTTACTGCTTTCTAAAACGGAGTTTTAATACAAAAATAAAAAAATTTGTACTAAAACTCCGTTTTAGAAAGCAATAAAAAAGCCGTCCCAAACGAAGCCTTAGTCTAAGCTCAAGCTTAGGCATACTGACATTTTTTGGGTTCTCAGGTGCATTTTTCATCATTTCAAAATAAATTTTGACGTTTTTGAAGCCCAACGCAATCGCTTAATTAATTTTGAAGAATTTGAAGCAAATATGTTGATAATTTTTGTTCCAATCAAATTGCCAACTTCGTATTGGGCTAAAATTATAATTTTGAAGGTCTTACATAAATCATTATTTGAGGGGAGATCAATGTTAACGTTTAGGAAGCTATTGTACCACATATTTTGTATGAAATTGTAATTTTTTTATCACAAATTTTCTCAATATATTTTTTGAGAAGGCTAATTTTAATGTAACATTTGAATTGAAAATTTTTTAAATTAAATTTAAGATTATTTGAATTTCAATTTTAAAAAAAATTATAGTTGAATTGAATGTATTGGCATGAAGAATCTATTGATATGATATAATCCAATTTTAATGATCCAAAATTTGGCACTTGAAGTATAATTAAAAACTTCATAATGTCAATTAGAGAACCAGTTGATTATCTTAATATTATGTGCTTATAGTTGAATTGAGCGCTTAGATGAGAAAATATCATTGAGCCTAATGCCATTAAGACATTTAAATAATTAATGAAAGAATGATTTATTATCAAAGGAATCAATATAGTTTATCTCATGGAGTGTTTTAAGGTTTTAACCAAATAACTAAAATGTAGCTCTTAAAATTATAAATTAAACAATTTTTTTTATATATAAAAGGGGAGCCTCGATTTTAACCTAAAGTAAAATTAGTGTTTGACAGTCTGCATGACTCTATAGTCCTTTTAACTCTTCTTGACATTTGATAATGATGATCGCCGCCAATAATCATCGTTGTTGCCTGACCATTTAACTGTCGTTAACCAACTATCATCACGTGATTGCCATCATTCGACTGTTGTATCATTTGGCCATCGTCTGATCATTATCATCTAATCGATACTGTTAGACCATCATTATCTAACTATGATCATCCGATTGATACCCCACCATCATCATGTGATTGTCATTACCAAACTAGCATCGACCAACCACCAATATCCCTCTTATCTTCCCACTTGGTTGGGATCGAAATTGCACAGAGGGATGAGCAAGAGGATGTGAAATTGGCGACGGGAAAATAGTTGGAGCATTGGGACAACACACAAGTAGAGTTTTTTACTATCAATGCTCTTGATGACCTTTTGGAGGACTGGATATTTGAAGCAAAGGGTGTTATCGTTGAAAGTGATAACAGTAGTATTATAAGATTGCTTTAGAAGTCTATTTTAGAGATTGAATGGTGGAAAAATTAACAATTGTTGGTTGACCTGGCTTTCCTTTCTAATTTCTATCATGTAATTTTTAAATTTGTGAATAGAACTTGTAATAAGTCAGCTGATTATTGTACAAAGCTTCTCATCAGACATTCTTTTATTTGGAAGGGAGATTATTCTTTCATGGTTTGTTTGTGATAGCTTTCTGAATGCTTTCTAGAACAGTGTTTTAGTTAAAAATTTTCTTGAATTAGAATTTCTTGTACTAAAAATATGTTTTTAGAGAGCAACGATAAAACTATCCCAAAAGAAGCCTTAATCTTCCTAAAAGTTTCTATTATTTGCTGAGAGAGAGAGAGAGAGAGAGAGAGAGAGAGAGAGAATGGTTTAGACCTCCTTAGATTGTATTTGCTTGTACTTTTTTGTTTTTTTAATTGAAAATGTAATTTTCAATAAAAAAAAAACAATCAATCAACAACAAATATCCAAAATTTATACCAACCCCAAGGTGTTCTAAACTTTATAATGTCATCTTGTCTTTTTGTGTGAAAGAAGAAGCTTTATCACAAGAGTCTTGCAGCAAATCCTATGATTTTTTTTTAATTTTGTATATAAAAATATTAATATTTCTTGTGAAACATTTTCTTATATGTTAAATTTTCATATAAAATTATAATATTAATATCACACTCTATCATCATAAATATTCTCCTATACAATAATCTATAAAATCCCATGTAATTAGTATTTTATCACATATCTCACAACTTTCGCATTTCCTGCTGCAACCATCAGACATTCATGATGATTGAGATTTTGTTTGGGACAGCTTTAGACAACAACTTTTTTATGCTTTTATGAAAAATTTTAACTAAAAAAAACAGTTTTATAAAGCAATAAAAAAGCCATTCCAAACAAACCTGAAATTCAACAAGCAAACTCATTTTGAATCATGCGTTTCCTATTGCAAGAAATGCATCAGACATTCAAGATGATTGAGATTTTGTTTGAGACAGCTTTAGACAACAACTTTTTTAATGCTTTTATAAAATTATTTAATTAAAAAATAGTTTTATAAAACAATTAAAAAAGTCCTCCCAAACAAACCTGAAATTCAACAAGCAAACTCATTTTGAATCACGACAGTGTCGTAAGTAATCATCCATTACCATCATCTCTCCTCTATTAAAAATAATAAGGATAAACTATTTTGTTTTAATTAAATTAACATTTTTGGAGCAAATATAAAAATAAATAAACAGATTAAAATATCGAATAAATTTACATTTCGTTACAATAAACGCCATTTGGAATTAGATCCATGGAGATCGAGCGGGAGCTCGAGCAAGAGCTGATAGATGGGATCTCTGAACTTGTTCGCCGCCTCAGCGATCTCAAGGCGCGCCAGATCGCGCGGGGTCTCGTTAAGGTGAACGGGGGTGGGCTTACGAAGAAAGCGGAAGTCGATATCGCCGGCGCGACAAGGCGGTGGGTGGTGACCAGCTTTCCGCAGAGAGACCGGGCGGTGGATTTTGGTGAGGAAAGTGGGTACGATTCTGGGTGCTCGGATGCTGAGTCCACAACGGAGGAGGGAGGCTTAAGCAGAAAATGCGTCATATCATCTCTTCGCCCTTGATGTGACACATTTTGATTGTTCTTCAGACGATATTCTACTTCCGATCTCCGCACATTATAATTTCTCCTTAAGCAGGGATGCGGGAGGAAACTTACCAATTGTAACTTGCTGGGTCGGGTCAAGCCAGACCTGTAGACTGTTCCGCTGATTAAAATTGTCATCGCCATAAAATATTTATGAATTTATGTTGTTTCAGCAATTTCTCAAAGCCCGTGATTTTTTCCTTTTCGATTTTTCACTTAAAAAGTTTCTGATATTTTTTCTGGGGATTTATATATATACCACTTTATACCATCATATTTACATATCTAATATTAAAAAATTTAATATTATATAAATACTACTATATATTAATTTAATATCAAATATGTCTTTCATATTTTCTTCCTACCACTCATATGTTTTATTTCTACAACTCATATTTGATATAAAAATGAATTATATGTGGTATGTATGTAATATTAATATTTTGGGTATTAGATATATAAATAGAGTAATATAGAGTGGTATGTATGTAAATCCTCCTTTTTATTTGTCTATGTACTAAATCTTCCTATAAAACTAATTAAAATGTAAAACTCTCACTCAACAGTTGTAAATTTTTTAACATGTAATAATTATTATTTGAATGTTTGGATATTAAGATATATAAGTAATAGATATAACATAAGATACAATTCATTTATAGAGCTATATTATAACATTAATAGCATAATATATGTAAATTTAAAAGATTATAAATGTACAAAATAAAAAATTAATATTTATAATACAAAATTTTTATTTAATTTGAGATAATGAAAAATAATTACATTTTTATTCACCACTGAAATGCAAACAATTTTTGCTTGTGAGTATTTTGTTGCTCTTCCATCTCAAACTCATTGATGTTCTCCATTGAGAGTAAAAATTTAATGAGAGGAGGGTGTTCTTCCTGAATAAAATATTTCATGATAAGATATAAGAGAAGAGATGAAATGAAGTATAACCAACAAATTATATCTTAAGCAGTATAAAATACTCACTAGAAATTTCATCATTAAATTCAAAATTGGGGTGTTAATATTTGATAAAACCTGACCTGAATCCAACCCGAAAATTTTGGATTCGGGTTAACTTGATCCGGGTCGGGTTCGGGTTAAGGATTTCACACTGTTTGTAAAATCGGGTCGGATTTGGGTTGACCCGGAAACCCGAAACCAACCTAGTTTCACATGTTTTTAATTAATTTAGGAGGTTTTTAAAAGATTGTTATAAAATAAGTAAATGCTATTTCTAAAAAAATAATAAACCATATTG